CGTTTAACTACTGGATCTCCTGTCGTATTTATGCGGCCCGGCCGTGTGAGCTTGTGCATGAGGAGTGGGCGGGGCTTCAATTGTTTTGGAGTGGGCGGGGTTTCAATCCTTTATCAGCACCAGGCGTCTACAGAGTTTCATGCAGTTGTGGCAGAGTAAATATCGGCACCACAAAACGTAGTGTAAACACTTTAATAGGAAAAAAGAAATTACGGCACTCAGTCAAAATGAATAAGTGGAATAGTGATCAATTAGTCAATTTTTGATTTGCTTATGAAATGTTTATGAAAATATGAGTATTACGAAGTATTAACATAAGATGCAAAGATCACACGAATAAAATGAAGAGATACCGCGTTCGAAAAATTGTTGAATTATTTGTAAGACATGGAAGACGTTAAAAATTAAAGTAGAAACAATTAAAACAGTACACCAGCAAGTATTAAATAAAATTTAAAAATCATAGAAAAGTAGAAGCGGTATAGATGACTTAAAAATGAAAGAAAAAAAGGCCCAGACACGAACTCGCCCACCAGGGCAACAGGTAGCAAACGGTGTAAGTTGTAAGTGTGCTAATAACGTATATGTTTGTAGTAAGTAGCATGCATGTATAAGTAAGGGCGTTAAATTAATAAGATGCCCATGCTAGTAAGCAGCTAGTATGCATTCTTAGAGAGGAATTCAACTTTTAAAGGATAACTTCCTAAAACTCGTAGTACAAAAGGGGGTTTTTTAGTTGGTAACCATCCAACACTACCTAGGGTTCGGAACAACTTAAAAATTTAACTTTTGGTTAATTTGAAAATGTGTAGGCACAAACACTACAGCAAGTTTACTGGCGCACAGCACTTTCCGCGATTAAACTTAAACACTTAAACACCAAATGTAAACTAGTGGTGAGGAAAAAGTAACTAATCGGTATTCGAGTACTCGTTACTCATCAGTATCCGAAGTAACGAATACCGAACCAAGCTACCAAACGAGTATTCAAGTAATCAGTAATCGTTGTCGGAAAATCAAGTCACCCATTTTCTAACCTTCGACTTCAAAACCCAATATTCTACTACTCGTACTCGTTCAGACTATCTAAACTATAATCAATACCATGACCCGCACCGATACGGATGGATACCGAAAGTCGCGTTTGATTTTCAACGTCGGTCGATGATTCTAATCAGTAAAAAAAGGGTTGCACGCTGCCGCATGGTAAACTTCAATTATATTTTTACATTTACATTTATAATATAATATGTAACATGATAATTGTAACTTATTTCAAAACTGCATATTTGTAAAAAGACGTTATTAAAATTGATAATTGTAGCACTGTATTACTACTGTACCAAAATGTATGTATGGATGTGTGGCATCTTGTTTCACATAGTTAAATGACTTGCTTTCAAAAAGACAATTTATTTAGATACTGTCGGTATTAACAACCGTGGTGGTTCAAAACGTCTGCGGACAATATCTACAATAACAATAGAGAGTACAATAGGGAATCAATTAACAACTGGCTTAAAAATGGATAAAAATGGTCTGATTATTTAGTCTTAGACGTAAACATACCTATTTATTACGGAAATAATAAATTCAAGGGTTGGATAKGGTTTGTATGACTAAAGTGTGCGTGTAACAAATCTGAAGGGCACTATTAAMATAARTTCTCACACCACTAATGTAAACGAACATTAAAGTGGGTAGTTGTCATGCCTTGTAAGGCTGCATTCTGTYCTCTGTAGCGCCACAGCGGCCTCCCTGCTTATCCACAGGGTTAGGTAAGTTAGGAGGATGTTTAATGCTATGCTCGTAGTCTTCATTGTGCCGATCATCGCTAGGCAGACCCGCAAGTTTCCGGGATATGCACGCTTTATCCACCGTAGGTGTTGCRCCTCAGTCTAAGGTCACGCCTAAGTACTWRACTTCACACTAGTGAGGGTAAGAGGCCTTCCGTACAGCCGTGGTGTCCTATAATCCTTTATTTTTCTTCTCCTTGTGGCGGTTTTGCCGGGATTAACTSAAAATCCGGCATCGGTGCACCATTTCTCTATTATTCTACATGCAACCTGCATTCTCTCGCAGACGACCTCCAAAAACTTCCCCTTAACGAGGACTAGGCTGTCGTCCTCGTAGGTCCTCCCATCTAACCGCCCCAGAAGCTCCTCCATAACCAGACACTAGGGGCGGGGGAAAGACAGCCCCCCAGGTAGGCGCTGGCAGTCCTATTTGTTGGGACAGACCTTGACGTCCTAGCCACCAGTGCCGCCGTTGCCTGGGAAGTGTTTGGCTACGAGAAGTTACAGGGTCTCCTTTTTTGTTTCAGCCCAGGTGACATCTTCCTCCTAGTATCATGCATCTTCATCTAGTACACCTCAACGCTGCACTTCTGTCGGCCTGTCGACGGTAATTGAAGGTGCGGACTGTATCCGCACAAGGCAGATGTAGAGGGTGGCCGAAAAAAAATTCTTGGAGCAATTTTGATAATAAAAGTAAAATAAAAACGATTATGGATATATCAATCAAGTGGCACGTTAATATAAGCAGGAAAAATTAGGGGTTTACAAATAGGCGTTTGATTTCCGGAAGTTATTTTTATTACGATTAAACCAAATAGAGCCTAGAAAAGTACAGATACAAAAATGCATATAAAGAAATTTTCACAAAAATAAACTAAAATTCTTATAACTGCACAAAAAAATAATTTATACTAAATTAAGTCTACAACTTTATAATGTACTAACATCCAGAGCAGTAGATTTTGAGGCTTATTGGAGCATTGTACGAATTAAATATATCGTTGCAGATTCAAATCTGTAATAAGCATCCAAATATCATGTCAGTTTTACCACAGAATACACAACGATTCTATTTTAAACGCAAATTTCTTATGTATTGATTTAGGAAGGAAATCCACTCGGTGGCTGCCCTGGAACTGAATATTGTGGCCTGAAGCTCGAGAAGTTTGCAGCCGCAAAACCGGCTAAAGCGCCTGCGTTAAAACCAGGTGGAAATTGGCTCATTACTTGAGCTGCAATAAACAGAAAATTATTAATTCATTAATCATGAAGTATACATATATGAATCACATAATACATAAGAAGTGGAATTTTGCTCAACACGCTCAGGGGGAGCATTCAGGAGGCTGATTGCAAGGTAAATCAAATTTGGCGTTCCCTCTTTTAAGGGTATACACGCACTATGCGGGTATCCGGTTGATCGAGTGCAATTAAAATGTTTCTTATTTTACGGAACAACACGATTTCTATCCATATTTTCATTTTTCTTCAAGAATCATTTCTTCTCTTTCAACAGTCCTAACTTGCCCCGGTCCTGAATCCGCATAATCATTTTTAACCGTGGAACCCTGAACACGCGGCTTCATGGCACGCCTCTAGGCCTGGGTAACACTGTGTTGAGTTGTGCTTTTGAGTTGGTTCCGCTGTGTGAGTTATCGCGCCTCACTGCACCGCACCTCGAATTGCGCTTGAGGCGGAATAATTCTTGAAATCCGAACTATTAAAGGATATTTTTAATTAGTTGAAATTTCGTTGGTTTCTATCATCGCTCGGAAATTGACCAACAGTTTCATTTGTAAGTGATTTCTTCGCGGTTTTTTTGTTCAATCAATAATTTTAGAAAAACAAAATTAATTCGGTTAGTAATTTTAGTTCTGCGTTGTGCATTAATCACTGCAGCTGAGTGAAATTCAGACAAATATAAATGGCTTTAAATTTAAAATTAAATTAGTGAAAGATTGGCGCTTGGAGTGTTTTTCGTTAAGTTGGAACGTGAAATTTTCCTTTGGAAATATTGCCATGCGAACAGGCACTTTCTACAAAAATGTCAACAATAAACACACTGAAATCGACCTGCCACGCAAGAGCAGAGCAATAAAACATCGAAATTAATTGATTAAATAATTTAATTTCTGTACATTCTGTACTTCGGTGTATTTTTTGGAAAAGGTGTACCAATATTCAGTTTGTTACCGATAGTGGACGAAATCGGTCGATAGTCCTTTGTGTCGTGTGAATCACGTTCTTAGATGGGAAATATAGAATCATTGAGGCCCTTATGGCAAGTGCGGTATGGTGAACTTTTTAAGGATTAATGGGTAGAAAATGGAGGATGGGGCGACAGCTTGGAGAAAGCTGGTAAGAATGATCTCCAATCTATACGCCTTTTAGCTTAAACTGAATTTAGTTTTCCGACAGGACACGAAAGTATAATGGATTATTTATATATCAATCTTAGCTTTGCTGATTTCAAACAAATTTGTCTTTGGACCGATTTCCTGTTGTATTAAACACATTTTCTTCTTTCTTTCCAGGCTGCACTATGCAGAATGAAAAAGGCGACTTTTTCTACTACTCGGTTAGCACGATTTTCAAGCAAAAAAGGCCAGAAAATCGCGAGCTTTTACTCATTAGCCGAATGCGGTTCTGTTCTATGATTACAGCCGGTTATGAGTTCATTCGTTCCTTAAATTCGCATTCGAATCGAGGCAAAAACTATCTCAGTTTAGAGTGTTTTTTGTGCCAAGACATTTCAGTTGCATCGTTTACAGCCTCAATAGATGAAAAAAGCGGCCCAAATAAACTGCCAGGTGTGTCATACACACACCGGTTTTGAACCGTGGACCAAATCCATTGTCTTAGGACTCAGGCAATTGTTAGGAGTTGGCGCAGTGCTGCGTAAATGGCTTGGTGTGCCAACCCAATCCCATCGACGCTGTAACTCACCTCGGCAGAGGGAAAACGCTTTTTTTTAGTCTTCAAATTTTTTACGTTTTTAAGAAATTGGAAAATTTTCAAAAGTTTTGAGTAACCTAATTTTCTAGTTACAGTAAAGTCCGCCTATAATAAACCCGGTTATAGTGAACTTTCGGTTAAAACGAACTTTTTTCCTTTAATTGAAACGTCATCCATAAAGACCAACGTATTTTTTTACTGGTTATAACAAACCCGTTTACAACAAACTTCCGGACATAACAATCACTTTTTAGGATAGTTGTATATTCACTTTCCGTTTATAACAAACTTCCACGCTCAGCAACACGAATCGTGCGGAGTTGTTTATATTAGTGAGCGCGAGAAACAGGCAGTGACTTGTTTTTTGCCGCGTTATATATGTATTGGAGAGTCTGCCGGTGTGAACATGAATGTGGTCAATGATTGGTACATAATGTATGGCCCACCATCCGAGACAGTTATGAATACAAAGATATTTTTAATGCTGACGAAATGGGCCTATTTTATAAACTAACGCCCGACACAGCACTAAAATTTGTTGGTAAGAAATGTGCTGGCGGCAAGTTATTTGAAGTACGCCTTACAGTTTTGGTGGCGGCAAACATGTCGGGAACAGAAAAAAGAAAGTTATTGGTGAGTCAGCTCATCCTAGATGTTTCAAAAACAAGAGTAAATAAGTAAACTACAAAGCAAACGGCAAAGCTTGGACAAGTTCTCTAATCATATCTGGGAGTCATTTTGTGATCTTGAAAACTACATAAATAACATCTATTTTTGCAGCAGAAATGTACATACAAAAATTACAGACTTTATGAAGTAGATTTCAAATTGAATTTTGTTTATCTTTTTGTGTTCTTTTTAGTCATATCTACTAACTTCTACCACTCTATGTAAAAATAACGAAATAAAATACACCACGTGTTTTTGTATTATTATTCGCTTCTAGCGAACTCCGGATATAACATACCAGCTTTAGTTCATTTCTCAAGTTCGTTATATCCGGACTCAACTGTATTTTGATTGAAGAGAATTCCAGTTTTGACTTGCTGTTTCTCAGTTCATGCAAATTTAACTTGAAATTTGAGAAATACCGAAAAAGAATACGCAGTTCAGTAAAGATAAACCGAGAAAAAAATTAATTGAAAAAATTTCCAACTCCCAAAAACCAAATTTTCAAAATTTTTTCTATTTTATTTTTTCAGATAAAAAAAATTAATCTCAAAGTTTGAAAGCCGAATTTTCACAGCTAGCAAACGAACTGTATTTTGAACAATTTAGCAGTTTTTACACCGAAAATTAGCAAATAATGTTTTACATCATTTTTCAAGTTTCTCAAACATTTTTGAGAAACCCAACTTGCTAGACGGTAAACCAACTATTTGACTTTCTTCAAACTTGGTTGAAAAACATACATTTTTCAAAAATTTGACAATGAAAAGCCAAAAATCTAACAATTCAGGTGACATATCACCCGAAAGCATGAAGGAAAACTTGATTGGAACAACAATGTTTGAGAGCTTCCAGTACGTTTTCAGTTAGTAAGGGGAAGCGATTGGCCGTTCGTATAGATAGACGGATTTAAAAAAAAATCACGAAAACCCACAAATCTCCCAAGCCTCCCCAAAATATCACTCGAAAGAGAAAATCGGCTGCTTTAAGTGAAGAAAAACTCACTTGAATTGGAAATTTCTGTGAGTTTCCAGGATTTTTTGAGTTTCGAAAGTGAGGCGATTGGTGAACACGGATTTTTCAAAAATTTGCTAAGGAAAAACGAAAAATACCCAAGACTGTCCATAATATCTCTCGGAAGAGAAAATCCGCAGCTTTAAGTGAGGGAAAAGTTATTTTAATAAGAAATTTCCGGGACTGTTTTTTTTCAGTTACTAAGGTGAGGCGATTCTTCTTCGGGTGCCATGTGCCATGCTGCACGTCGGCGATCATTTGTCCATTTCATGTTCACATAATAGCTAAAGAATAAGCTAAAAATCCCACAATCCGGCTCATAATATCACTCGAAAAAGAAAATGCGCTGCACTCTATACTCTACTAAATACGCACTCTAATAGGAAATTTCTGGAAGCTTTCAGGATTTTTTCAATTACGAAGAGCTAGATTAATCTAATGTGACGATCTTTCGACTTTTTACACTCTTTAAATTGCCGGTGTCTCCTAACGGCATGAGCATTAGAAAATCCATGGAAAATACGACCTCTAAACCCGTCCCCCCAAGCCAAGCTTTAACTCATAACTGGGAGCTGACAAATCGCGTTCTATATGCCCACTTGCTCGGACTCACGCGCATCGTCCAACTCGGTCGCCGCTGTTCACGTACCCTTCACTTTAAATATATTTTTTGCATACTCTCTGCTTTCGAATCAACCTCTCTAAAGCGCATCTTGACCAATAAGCAAACAGTTCTTTGCGTCAACCGACGCAAATACTCTTGATCTATTGGCAATTATGCTGGCTGTTACAACTACTGCTTACCAGTGGTTTGACTGTTTGATGATGATGTTGCCGCGAGCCTTGATAGAATACTTCTCTCGGACATTTGCAATCTTTGAGCCACTGGCGGAATCCTCGCTAATGTAGCAGGTAGTCTAGACACGTCAGACTTCATATCACTCAACAATTCTTCCAACTGGTTTAAAACTTTGTGAAGCACAGCGTTTGCTGGTTTATTGCCTGAAAAGTAAGCAACATCATTTAGAGATAGCATGTGACGATTTAAATATTCGCTCTCTTACCGGCCAGCGATTCTTTACTCAGATGTTGATGTGATTCAGCCAGACATTCTACTTCTGCAAACCGGGCATTTAACGACATTGCTGGATGGTTTGGATCCTGGGTTAAATTTAAATATGCAGCGCGTCGTAGTTGTTCTTCAATGACGAGCGCCTGTTCTAAGAGCTGAAAAATATTTGGAAAAATATTATTTTATATAGTACACTCACATGATAATAAAAAAAAGTATTCATCTGAATAATAAAACCCATTAGATAATTTCAAATGTACCTTGAATCTTCGTGCTAGAAATTTATTCTTAATTTCTAAGAAATTTCCCTTGCCAACGTCCATTTTGAAGGGCTCGTTGATGATTGCAAACCTGGCATCCGCTTGAATATCTTGCCATCTGAAATAGTTTGAGTTTTAGAAGTAATATTTTTCCAGTGTGCAACAAAATCAGTCGGTGATGCCATACCAGGGAAATTTTCCCAAGTTTTAGGGATTTTTCTCAGGTAAAGGAAAACGGGATTTGTTATAATCATCTAGGAATTTTCTGTTCTGAAATAAACTGTTCTGTGTTATAGTTAAATGTGTAAATAATTTCAGGTAAAATCGAAAACAAATAATTAGAAAGTAAAGTTTGTAGTAAAGTAAAAAGCAAAGATTTTTTTGACCAAAAAAGATTTAAAAAGATCGCAATGGCCAATTTGTGAAGTTCTCTACCGAATAGCAACGTAGAAACCGAAAGCGTTTTTTCGATTGCCACTGATGTTAAAACAAAAAATGTAATAAATTAAGCAATGAGGCTTTGAACCATAATAATTCTAAGTCAAAATGTTGCACGTCATTGAGAAATATGGACGTTCATTTGAACTTAATAAAATCTTCAAATTTATGTAAGTAAAAACTGCCTTTAAATTTTCATAAAATAACTAATAATTTTTAAACAATAATTAATTTTAAATTGAAGCGAAATAATGAGTTCAATTCTTTTTACGTTTGTATACTTGCATAAACATTTACAGTGTAATATACCGTTTCCAGCAAACTTTTTTGTTTCACTTATAATATATATTTTGTATTTTAGTTATATTTTTTCCAAAATCTAGGGAAAACTAGGGATTCTTTAGGTGTTCATCTGGGGATTTAAATTTTTCCGATCTGGCATCACTGCGCCCGAATGCATTTTTAGGCGTTTGCGCTATGATGCCGAAACAGCTTGAAGCGTCAACACAACGCACCGGCGCAGTAAACCCATATATCCAGGGTGACTCAAAATTGGCGTCATTCCTTTTAAGGGGTTATAGGAGCTTACTTCGAGTACGAGAATTACTGGAAAAAAAATGTTTGAAAATGTCTAGAGGATGTTAACAGTTAAAAATAGATCTGTAACTTTGCTACTAAGTATTATTTTGAAATGGTCCAACCATGTTTGATTGGTAGCCTATTGGAATACTTATACATTCAAAAATAAAAATTACTACCTTTTCTTCAACTTATGAACATTTTTGATATTGAAAAGTACTCTCTACAATGTATTTATGAAAATTGAAAGCGCCAACGATGTCATTTTCAGAATCATTCAAGAATATGAAGAAGAAATAGAGGTGTTCGAGTTTTAGACATAGAAGCAAACATTGAAGATAATTGAAGCAGAGCTTTCCAGGAGTATTAAGAGCATTGCACAACAACTGACATCTCCCCAGGCAACTGTGCACACAAGGGCATATTAAATCTCCGGTCTAGCGAACACCGGTACAAATTGAGCACGAGTTAATTAACCGTATACGAGAACAGTGCACAATAACGTGATTACACGAGCACAAACTTGACTGGAGTTAATCCAGGAACCAGAAAAGAAATAATGTACGATAGTGCAAGGTTTTGCGGTCGCTAGTTACAGGCGAAACCCAGCTGAGGAGAGCTAATAGGCTTGAAACCGGTCCTGGGGGTGCCTGACTTTAGCGAACCTCGCAACTTGCACTTATCATTCTTGCGGATGATACCGACGAAATTCTTGGTTTTATGATTTCTCATTATATTTATAAGGGACAGGTTGTCATTGGTCTCATCTGGTTTTGAGACAGTACAATATTTCTCCCTGTTGCAAAAGTGCGAGTAATTCCAGTCTCTAACAAAACTGCGTTTCACTAAAAGCAGTTATGATATCGATTGTGAGAAACTTCAGAGCTATTTAAATACCGACCGGATCATAAACGCTCAACTCCTGTATAACCCCGATAAAACTAACCAATTTTAGATATGTTCTTTTTCAGTCTTCATTTGTCTACTACTCAACATATAATACCGTAAGCCAACTCGTAGCTCAATTTCATACCTTCCATATCCGTGCGTGACAATACCAGCTAGTAACCAATAATCATGTCGACGATGCCAAATCTCGTATTCGCGACCAGGAGTGGCTGCTTTCTCCTCATTGAGCCATAAAGTATGTAGTTCGGTAAATCCACCATCAGCAATGTTGAACATAAACTTCCTTTTATCGGGAGTTTCGATTATTTCCTTCTTGTCCTTCTGCAAGTAAATGTTTTTTTTATTGTAACAGTAATTCATTATTAAAAATAAAAAAATTCCTTTCGAATTGCGTTTTGAAATCTTATAGCACATTAATTACAATTATTTATTGTATTATATTAAACAAAATGACTCGTATAGAGATTAAAAAGATTTATAGTCAAATGAAGTTCAACCAATCAAAAAATCTATTCAATGGTAAATAATTAAATGTTATCAATGTGTTCTTTGTGGATTTAAGGTCGCATTTTTTTGGGGAAAACAGTTTTTTTTTATCTGTAGAAATTGTCTGCATAACTATTAATATCGGGCCGATTTGAAAATTTGATGAAAAACGTACGATCCGAATTACTGCATCCGGAAAAATTGCGATCGGTTGAAAAACTTGGAAGTTATGATGATGTTAAGGTCGAAAAGACGATTTCCCGAACAAGCTAGTTTGAATTTTTACCTCTATTAACACATTATCAAAGTAGAACATCAGATTGTTTGCAAAGTGTAAAAAAAATATTTTTTTTGGATCGTTTTGCCTTGAAATTTGGGACAAAATCGAAACAAAGTTTTCTTGTTTTTTGGTTCAAAACATTTTTTGTTTTCCTTTAAAACTATTAAGCAAAAGCATTTAATCAACCATTTGGAAAACTCGTCACCCTATCTCTCTGAAGAATTTTTAAGGTTCTTCAAAATGTCAGTTTTTCCGTTTCAGACTAAAAACCAAAAATACCGTATTTTTAAGCAATCGTTTCTACAGAAAAAGTCACATTTTTGGGAGTTGGAACGGTGCTGCGCAAATGACTTGAACCGCCAACCAAACGCACCGGCGCAGGCCTAACTGACCTGTAAGAAGTTTCTTTGAACGGGAGATTTTTCGAAATAAATAAATAATATAAATCACTCACATTTTAGTCAATTTTCTCATTAAAAAAGGAGATAGCATTTCATAAATTTTGGTTCCAAACTTTTAGAAAACATTGCGAAAGAACCTGTTTAAGAGTTCTCTCTTCAAGTGACTTAATATCTAGATTCTAAAGACCCTCAAAATATATCGACGTTATTTCGAGAAAATTTGTATTGAATAAACCTTAGAAAAATACTCACCTTATCTTCGTCTAATAGCACAATGTCGTCATCTTTCTTATCAACTATCTTTTCTTCCTTGACATCAACGTCCATTTTAACATCGCTTTCGGTTTCTTTCTTTTCATCTTGAACACCAGACTCCTCTTTTATGGCGTTCTAAAAGAACATTTGTCTATATAAACAACTGAAACTCAAAATTGCGCGATACTTTAAGCATCAAAAAACTATTTTGAATATATCTTAAAACAGATCAAGTTCACGTTCTATATATTCGTTTCCGGTACCGAGAAAATCAAATACTCGGCATTTAGAATACCGAGTGTTCGCAAAATGCGTTAAAAATTCTTTAAGGATGATTCTACGGGCTGAAATAATTCGCGAGCTCAACTACCGATCGTGGAGCTGCGAAACGTCAAATTACTCGTTGTCGAGTGACAGTTGAGACCTGTCAGACTTGTTTATTTATTGGAGTTGATGACATTTATAACGTTAAAGTTATGTAACAAAAATTCGAAACAGGAATATTTGTGTGTCTTTGAATTTAATTGCAATCGCAGCAAATCAAGTCTGGATTTCAAATGTGTCAAATTTTATAATTTACAGTAATTATTGTATTACTGTTCAATTAAGACTAAAGTTTTCTGCTGCATTCAAATGCAACATTTCAATATCCTCGATCCATTTTAATTTAGTGGTTTTAGGGCACAAAACGTTAGTTTACATTGAACAGTAATACGACTTGGATTGAGAGTGATAAACACTTTGATGTCGATTCCCTCCAATACAAAAAGGTTTTTCCAGTCGTGTCAAGAGCACATTTTTTGTCTAGTATTGTCTAATCTTTAAAACTGCATATTCTTTTTTGCGACATTTTCGGTGTCAAGTCCCCATTATTTATAATGGGGAAAATGAAATTTGGGTTTCAGGTAAAGTGCCATGTAGTGGCAACTTCGATAACGATCGATCATTTTTTTTCAGAAATTTGAGATCACGCAGCTAAAACTCTGTACCGATTTTCAACTCGGAAAATATACCGATTTAGAATTTTTGCTCATGACTTACTACTATTATTTTAGCCTGTAGAAGTACCTTTAAAAATTTCCTAACGCATTTTGCGAACACCCTGTATATTACAATAAATTATATTGGCAAGATCTATGAGCAGATACTCTTACGCAAGTTATCATGGATACGAAAAGCGAAAATTCAGCCCTTTGATGAGCAGAGTGCGAAGCATCACCGGGTACTTCCAAATCGGCACTCGGAATGTGCAAAGCTTATATACGGCGGCAATTTCACAATATCGTCAAAGAAAGACCAATGAATGAGAAAACTCAAGGTGATTTTTAGGCTTCCGAAACACGTAATATTTAGCCGATTTGAGGCGTTTTACAGGATTTACAGCTTGTCAGTTCCTTTTGCTTCGGAAATAAACTTGTTTATTAGATAAAAAATGTTTAATAGAATAGACGAAAACGCAAAGTGACTTCTAAGCTTCCGAATCGTAATTGTTAGCCGATTTGAGACATTTACAGCATTTACATATCGTCACTTCCTTTTAATAAATATCTATTTATTTTCATATACTGCGCCAATTTCATTAAAAAAACTCTGGAATGTTCGATGGTTTAAACCGTTTCTGCGAATATAATTGATGGATTTTACTACAAGATTCATGACATTTTCATGTTATGAATGAAAGTTTCAAGTGCATCTCCAAGACCGGTTTCGGCTCTCTAGAAAGAAGAGCTTATAGGCTTGAAACCGACCCTGGGGGTGCCTGAGGTTGGCAAACCTCGCAACTGGCACGATTTCTTGTTCGGATGTTACCGAAGAAATTCTTATCTTTAGTACTATTTAATCCTTTCAATTGTTTATTAATCATTTACTAACTCAGTATTGCGACCCGTCATGTTCTTTGAACCGTAAGTTGTCACATATTTTAATTTTCCCCACTAGAGATCGCACATATTGAAAACATCTAATAGTTGCAAAAATATATCTTCACCTCTTGTATTCGCATGGACGCTTTTTAATGCAGCAATTTCTTCTGTCAGGCAACATTGTTTATTAATTCCACGGATAAAAATCAACAATTAAGCATTGCTAGCTGCATCGTTGCTTTCATCAAGTGCCAGTGAAAAATACTCAAATTGTGAAGAATATATTTTCAATATGTCGAACTACTATACGTGCAGACAAACTAATATGTTCAATTTTTTTAAATTTTCCCGGATAAATTTCATTTAATTATGTTTCGCCCAAATATTTCGGAACGATCACGCGCTAAGTTTGCTGATATGTCGTAAAATTATATTGGTGCTTTGGAGGGCCGCTCAAAAAGTTGCAGAGCCGCAGGTTGCCGGCACCTGTCCTAAACGAAAAGATCTAGAAAAAGAAAATCTGTTCTAACAGATCCAAAAGTTATCAAGACCACAGCTGCATCGCTCTGCTTAGTTGTAAAATATAGAGCTGTCAATACCTCCGGTTTCAGTTCGCTTTTGACTTCGGCATCCGGTTTAACGTCTTGTTTGGTTTCCTCAGGCTCATGTTTCATGTCCTCAGTATCGACCTTCTCTTTGGCAATATCAGTTTTGTCTTCGATAGTTTTGCCTTTATCATCTTCACTGCACTCAGGCGCAGCTTCTTTCTCCTTGACCTCGTCGCTTTCCGATTTTTCTTTTTCAGATGTTTCACTAAATATTGGCGCTGGACTTGGAGCAGCACTAGTTGCAGGGGTAGCACTAAAGTTTCAAGATAATGTGAAATTTATCTTCACAGTTAATTAAAAACTACCTTGTACTCGTCGTTGCACTTTTTGGTGTATCTCCATCTCCACTGCTGGCCGGCTTGTTTTGCTCCAAAATTGCCTTTTTAATGAGCTCTGGCATACTGTAGTCTCCGTTTATATGTTCAAACTCTTGAACCTACCAGAAAATAAAAAAATAATATGTCAACACATATTCATTCACTAACCCACCTTCTTCCTAATCAAAGACATAACTCCAATCCGTGTTAAAACATGTTGTCTGCTCAGTCCTTCACGTGGTACACCATCAGCGAACGTATCGGAGTTATCGGCACCAGGCTCACATAGATGCCGCATAAATAGCGATACGTACGCCTTGAAGTTCTTTTCTGACTTTCCTCGCAAATCTCGTACTAACCATTGGGAATTAAAGGCGTCCTGCGGTGGCATTCCATAGCGCATGATTGCGTTTAAGAATGCTTTGCGTTGACGCGCGTTAAATCCTAGAACCTAAACCAGATAATATAGTCAACATATTTATTGGAAATCAAAGTGCGTAAACGAAATCATTCACTAAGCGCAAATCCTTAATAGACCACGCGATATTTAGTGTTTTATGCGGCGGTCCCACAGCAACCACTGTCATCAACTATCAACTATCACCAGCTACCACCGACTAAAATCAGGGAATCTGCAACGCTCTCACAGCAATGTTTACAAGTTTAGAAGCATATATAAAAGAAACCAAGCCGATATAATTTCTAAATCGCATGCGCCTTCTACCAATCTACCAAATTTCGAAACGGTGGTTAGCAGTGGAAGCTTTCTGTGAGACCGTTCAATGGGAATCACATATGTTGGAAATCTGCTTGATGGTCAACGGTGTTCACCGGTGGTTCTGTGGGACCGTCGCCTTACAATGTTCTTTCTTTTGACATATACATAAGGGCGAGATGTGTTTTTCGAACGACGACGTGGCAATTGTCAGATGTTCGAAAATGGATTTTTGCCCTCGTTTTAATTATGCATAAAAGCCTCAATTTTATCACTTAAAAACTGTCGTTCATGGCGCCACTCTCCGCGGGTATTTACAGACGATCGATCGACACTCCGGGAAAAAACTGGATAATTTTTAGAAGATTGCGATTTTTTCTCGCAGACTAGTGGAGACTCCCTTTCTGCGAGTATAAAGGAGCGTGGGCAGCTGGGGTGCAAAGAGAGACAAATCCAGAACCTCTTCGCAACCCCGTCTTTGACGAGAGAAGCGCACCTAAGTAAATCAGACTCCGGCTGATTCCAGGCTTTTTACACGTTCTAGATTAAATTTTTTAACTTTTCATCGTTCGTGTGCTGAACTTTTGTTTTTGACCAAACCACGGGTGGCAACCAGACTTAACTAGTCGAAGTGCCTGATTTTGTTATCAAAGGGTATAATAAGTCGTAGTTACTTTAACCGCCTCCGGTATTTCGAATTTACTGTTACTGTGGACAATTTTTGCGAAAATTTTTAATTCCCGACTTTCCACTCCTGTTGCCACTCAACCTAGTCTTCCTATCTTAGGTGATCTTGTCGTTTGAGACCGTCCGAAATTTTGGTTTTTTTCCCTTAAAGAGCACTTGAAATTAAGCAGTTTCAGCGAAAATCATGGATAGTCCATAAATATTAAGCCCAAAAACACTTACAAACTTTTTAAATTTGCTGTTCCAAAACTACTTATTTAAGCACGAAAATGTCAATAAATGTTCTTTAAAGTAAAACAAGAAAAAACAAAAAAATCAGAGTGACTCAAACGACTCGATCACCCCTATCTTAAGTGCGCTAAGAAATTCGGTGATCCCTGACCAACTCCTTCAGACCGTCGACTTTATTGTCAGTTTATAATTTACACCATTTTTCACACCAAGTTTTCCGGGCTTATAAGCCGTGGTGGATTGGAATTATTTCTTGACGGATCGCTCACATCGGCCATCATTCTCCATCTCCAGGGCCATTGTATCATTTATCGTAAACGCCCTCTCCAAGTGTCTCAGTTCCCTTTAAGTTCATTTGGGTCGCGAATTATCTCCGTTCATTTGGCAAAGGTTTGAATAGATATTATGGATAAATTATTATGGAAATTGCGGAATTTTTTTAAATAACTGGTGCATTGCCCTATGGATGCATTCGTTATAACGATTCATCTACTTAGACACAACGTTCACCAAATAATTTGAGCCTTGAAGAAGACCCCAATAAAGGTCTAAACGCCGGCAAATAATTAAATAGTGACGTTTTCATCATTGTCCCACACCTGCTACTTTCAGCTTAATTTTCCAATTGGGACGCAGAAAATTTACATGCTAATACATACCTCGATATTGCCACCTACTCTTGCTAATAGTGGCGGTAACGGTCTATCTCTTTCATCTTTTCTCTCCATGCGTCTTCTACTTCTTCGGTTAATATCTCCTTCATTCTTTTCGTCGAAATCGTCATCTTCTTCATCTTTATCCGATCCACCAGAAAAGTCACTAAAATAATACAACAGAAAAATGTACTACATACTTCAATTCTCAAGCTTATTAACTACCTATTGTAGTCCGACAAATTTTCTTGCCATGTGCTGTCATCTCGAGTTTCTGTTGTCATGCCACCATCATTATAGTTAACTTGTTTTCGCACACGTTTCCCTTTTCCTAAAGTTCGGGCGATGTCTTCTTGTTGCTAAAAAATAAAACATAAATAGACAAATATTTCAGACGTTAGCAAATCAAGCAAGAATTGAATTACACTTTTCGAATAAAATTCCATTGTTATTATCACAACTTTGACAATGATTCTGATGGCAATGACGAATTTTCATTACAGCCTCGTCGTGCAAATCTTCACATGCGTGCGTTAATAACATTCATACCCTACTGGTTTCGTAAATAACTATTACCATTCAGTAATGTGTAATTTTCCTTCATTGTACGTTAAAATTTTTATTCGTTTCTCCGTTAAAAATACTACATATATCTGTTGACCATAAGGGGCCCAAAGGGACCCCCCATGGTAATTTACGTTACTTTTTAAGTCATGGTATTTTAGAAGTTAAAAAACAGTAAGTTTCGTTACCTGTTCATAATGATGCCTCAAAAGCTTAATCCAATATGCTGGATCTGTATTCTCAGCTTCTTGCTTAATAATTTCAGTATCAACCTCTTCTTCATTTTCACCCTCTTTGGTAGCATAACTTGCCACTTTGAAGGAACTGAGATATTCGTTCGCCCAGGACTCCTTTTGTTCAATGCCCTCTTTACTGCGATCAAGAAGTTCACCCACTGCTTTATCATCATAATGAATGGCCTCCTCCTCTTTGCCCTCCTCCTCTTTAAATAGCTCTTCTGTTCCAAATCGCAAAATATCATCCAACTCTTGCTTCGTGAAATTTGCACCTTTTCCACCCATACCGGGTCGCACAACTAAATGAGTCAACATCATTTTTCTTTTGGCCACTTGAGTCACCCGCTCTTCAACACTATTGCGAGTAACAAACCGGTATATCATCACTTTATTGGCTTGACCTAAAAGTAAAAAATTGTTTTATATGGTAAACTGTACAAAAAACATTTTTATTTAGCCTCTGAAGAGCAAAAAACCGTCGATAGTGACAGAATTCCTGTGGCAAAATGGTGCTTCTGACGCCATTATTATGAATTAGGCAAAACAGAGAAAGTTAAAACACAGAAGCTAATTCGGATTGCTCTTAAACCGCGTCAAACTGCTCTGAAGCGGTCTCACGGTTTCGCTTGTTGTCAGAAGGGAACTAACGCGGCAACCATCGCGCAGAAAGCTTTTCCATGCCCAACATTTCATGCAGGATGTGACCCACAGCTACATATCATAAGCATGTAAAGTTCATGATTAGTAATCCCTATCATTTTAAGTATATAACGCACCACATTAGATTGTTCCGGGATTTTTGTATGTTTTCATACCAATAAAGTGTTCTTAAACGAATCTTTCGACTTCTTGGAAAAATAGTTTTTTAAAAACTTAACTTTTCCGAACCAAAATAAAATTGGCGGTCGTGCAGAATCTTTTGGGTCGTTCGAAGGGCAATTCGAACTCTCAAGTGCGTCTCACTATCGAAGTGAAAAAGTGTCGACATTAGGCAGTTCTTCACTGAATCGAAGTTCCAAAGAAGTCATTTGAGAATCAAGGTAGTCGACAGCACATCGACTGGAAACTACAAGCAGTCACCGAATAGAACCATCGAGAGCATATCGACTGGCTTTCTTCAAGCCAAAGAGGACAAGCATCGCCAAAATCGCTACCCCACAACCAATAAAGATCTTCATTGTGATTTTTGTTTTTCCAAGAAGTCAAAATTCGTTCAGGAACGCTTTTTTGTACATTTTCATATCAATAAAGTGTTTTTAACGATTTTTTGATTTCTTGAAACAAAGTTTTTAAAAACTCAATTTTTTTGCTCAATTTTTGCATTTGAAGCTTTCTCACGCACCTTCAACCGGCGGTCTGACATTATCAGATCGTGGATTTAAGTTATTTTATCCTCCTGGACGTGGTGTGGTCGGTAATGGCAAACTCGGTAAACTAATTTTTGACAGTCGCAATCGAAGGAGTAGAGTCACCGTACACCCCATCTAAGCGCTCTTTAATTTCCCTTCGTGTTTTTTTTTTCATTCTAGGCACATAAATCGAATCACCTACCGATAGTGTTTTTTCTCGTAAAAATCAAGGTTGGGAAAGTAAAACCTTGCTATTTGATATCTGTTAAATGCAAACGTCATCCGAAGCGTTTTTGTTTTAGTTGAAGGTTTGCCATTTTCGAATATGGATCGTTAACGGTATGTTACTATAAAAATGGAGATTCCGCTGTATCAACGTTTAGGGCTTTACGAGCAGATTACGGTCGACATAATCGACTCACAGAGCAAACAATGTCGAACACAGTGCAAAAATTTGAAGAGACTGGATCGGTTACTGATATTGTAAGGCCTGTGCATCATTCGTTCAGCTGAAAATATCGCTGTTGTTGCTCAAAGTGTGAAGGAAGACCCGAATTCGTCGATTCGACGACGTACTCAACATTTGAGCTTGTCTTACGGCTCATTGTGGCGAATTTTGCATTTGGATTTGAAGCTCCATCCGTACAAAGTCCAACTAACTCAATAACTTAAGCCTCAGGACCATGGGCAACGCAGAACATACGCAAATTGGGTGATTGAACAACAAGCCGTTGATGATTTTTTGAACCGAATTTTCTTCAGCGATGAGGCTCATTCTTCGCTCGGTGGTTACGTTAATAAACAGAACAGCAGTATATGGGGCTCTCAAATACTTCAGGTGATCGCAGAAAGGCCTCAGTTTGCCCTATTGCAAAAGAAATTTCGAGACTGAGTGATGTCAATTGGCCCGCAAGATCCTGCGACTTAACACCGTTAGATTTCTCTTTGTGGGGCTATGCCAAAGGTCGTGTTTACGCCAATACTCCTCAAACTCTTGAGCAACTGAAAGCCAATATACGCAAAGTTATGACCGAGATGATTACCGGTAATGAGCCGAAAAGTCATTCAAAATTACCTTAAAAGGTAGAGGCCTGTAGGAGGTCCCGTGAAGGACATTTAAATGATATTGTTTTTCGCGAATAATGGCAAGGTTTAATCTTTATATCCATCTGAATATTTTGTGTTTTTTTTTTTTACTTTACTTTCCTAAGCATAAAATGGATAACCATGTACTTCCACTTTAAAGCAAGGTTGCCATATCGATTTGCTTTCTATCAGAATATTCCAAACATATATTTCTTAAAAATCCTTGAAAGATTTTACTGCTGTTGAAGTGAACTCGAGGTTCTCTTATTTCAGTATAGTAACAATAAAATCGTGAATACGGCAAGCATGTCCGTTCACAATCCAAGGTCCCGTGCTATTCGCGGGTTCAAAAATCCAAACGCCTCCTGGTGGTTAAAATTATAACTACAAGTAAAAGTAGTAATTTGACACTTGTTTTGTTAACATTGGTGTTTACATCTGATTGTAATTTGTTTTGTTCGAATCGATTTTTTCCAGCTTTTAAAGAAAAATAGAAACAGATCGGAAAAGTGTGTAAGCAATGTTTTATGTTATAAATGTCATCAACTCCGATTGTTGTTGTTGTCAAAGTCTCATCTGTCACTCGACCATGAGTAATTTGACGTTTCGCAACCTGACATCACGAAACTGCTCCGTATAATACCATTAAACGGTACGAAGAGTTGGGCACGACGGCGGATAGGCCTCGAAGCGGAAGACCGATCAAGCGAAGCAGGTGGGTATTAACAGAGAGGCGGTCAGAAAAATGGTCAGGAAAGACCTGAAGCTTCTTAGCTACAAGCTCGGAAGAGATCATTACTTGGATCAGCGAATGAAGCGAGTAAGACTCGAGAAGTTTTGAAGAACGTCGTGATCCCCCCTGGAGCCGACATCACCGTTCATCGACATTGAACACTTCAACAGGACTGGGCGCCGGCTCATTCTGCGAAGTCGGTCCAAAAAAAACAACAAAATCGCCGTCTTGTGGGACAAGACTTTGTGGCCATCCAACTCGCTCGACCTGATTCCAATGGACTTCGAAATTTGGTCGATCCTGGAGCAAAATACCTGTCGAGTCTCTGAAGCGTTCTCTCCAAAAGGAGTGGGACGAAATATCAACGCCCGCAGGCTTGTGTGTTGGCTGAAGGTGGCCATTTCGAATTGTTGTTTACGTATTATGTTGAGAATTTTGTTGGCTTTCGAATGTGTAAAATTTTGTTGAATTTTGATATTTAATAAAAAAGTTATTAAGTTTTGAAGCCACAAAGACAGCCTGTCAAACAGTTTGCCAGTATTCGGCGTTTTTGATATTCAAAAAGCAAAATGAAAATTTCGCTCCTATTAGAGCCCAGGTAAAAGGAAACATATATTTTACCGACACAGTTTTACTTAAATTGCCTTCAAAACTACAAATCACAACAGTTTTAAAAATGACAACTGCTCAAGCGTTTAAACATATAATTTTTAAATATATTCATGAACAATGTAAATGCCTTTAAAAGCTCGTTTCTTCATAGAGAGAAAGGCTCGGAAATTGTAGATACGGTCACAAATAGAAGGGAAGGGAAAGTACAAGGCAACCGCCCAAGAGGCAAATCTCCGACTAGATGGGTAGACCAAACAAAATCCTTAATAAATATGAAACTGCATGATGGCGAGTGGACGAGACAAGATAGGCAAGCATGGGATCGACTACTGAATGAAATATGAATTGCCACCACGTCATTTGCAGGATAATGGACATAGGAGGTCACAAATTCTGGAATACTCTGTAGTTACTTAGAACTTACCAATACGATGTGCTCTGGAAAAGGCTTGAATATCATTATGTGGATTCCAATCAGAATCATAAATAATCACAGTATCTGCGGTAGCCAAATTGATGCCAAGGCCTCCAGCACGGGTGGACAATAAAAAGACAAACTGGATTGCTCCAGGTGCATTGAATCTTAAAAATAAGAAAAAAACATGTAATTCATCACATTTATATTTGTAAATATGGTGGTTTTACCTGTCGATTGCTTCTTGACGTTGACTACCAGTTATCGCTCCATCAATTCTCTCGTATTTGTAGCCTTCTCCTTCTAAGAAATCTTCAAGAATATCCAACATTTTTGTCATTTGAGAAAAAATCAAAACCCTGTGTCCTTGATCCTTAAGTTTCTTCAGCATTTTTGATAGCAACACCAGTTTTCCTGCGGCTGATCATAAATTATATAACACACACCATTAACATGCGCTTAAAAATATTTACATTTAGTTAAATGCTGAATATCGTACTGTCCATGGAATCCAAGAGGAGCTTCTTCGGCTGCAGCGGGAAATAAATAAGGATGGTTGCAACATTTCTTCAAGTCCATCATAATATTTAGTAAGGAAACTTGCTGACCACCACCTTTTGGGTTAAGCGCTTCGAAATTTCTTGTTAAAATGTATTTATAATATTTTTTTTGCATCGGACTCAGTTCAACTCTGACGATAAATTCAGATTTTGACGGCATGCTTTTCAATACGTCGGTTTTTAAACGTCGCAACATATGGGGCCCTAACATTTCGTGCAACTTTTTAACCTACAACAGATAAAAAGCGGTTATAAATGTACGCACGAGAAAAATCTTGTTAATACTTGCCTGATCCTCTTTAGAGATATCTGCAAATTCGTTTTGGAATGTTTGCAAATCGTCGAACTTCTGAGCATTTAAAAAGTTGAGCAGATGGAACAATTCTTCCAGGTTGTTTTGTAGAGGTGTACCAGTCAATAACAGTTTATATTGAATACTGTAACTACTGAGAATCTGAAAAAGCAAGTGCGCATTTACAGCAAAAAATTACGACGATTGGCTTGATATCCTACCTTAAAGAATTTTGACTGATTACTTTTAAGTCGATGAGCCTCATCGACTACTAACACAGCCCAATCAATTGAAGCTAAACAGGCAGAATCGATGGAAACCAGTTCATAACTCGTCAATAGGACGTTAAATTTAATTGAATTTGATTTTATTTTGGATACTCTTCCCGATCGAGCTACAGCTCCCTCTTCAAATGTCAACTCGTTTTCACGAATTACGGCTCTGCAGTCTTTATCACCTGGAATAAATATACAAAAACTTAATTATGCTAAACTGCACAAAAACATGTCGATTCGACTTGTGTTTATTTGTACACATGGATACAAATTAAGTGCGCACCGTTAACAATTTTGTTTAACAACAAATTAGTAGAGATACCGCATTGGTTTAAATAGAAAATAGTTTGATTTTTTCCGCTGGTTATGGTGGTGATGAAGCCATAGTATATTGGACGAAACATTGAAGTCAATTTAATACTACTCAATAAAATTTTGCATTTTTTTAAGCGATAAGTTTACCTTAGGCGTTAAAACATGAGATGTCACAGGCAAGTGCAGTTTTCGAAATGCGCTAACCTCAGGCACCCCCAGTACCGGTTTCGAGCGTATTAATGCTTATCAGCTGTGTTCAACCTGAAATTAGCGATTCCAAAACCTGCACTTTATAATGCCAATGTATTCAAATCGGCGTGGAAATTAGTTGTTGTACCATGTTCCACATTGTTGAATTCCAACATGGGAAATTTATGGAAATTAGTTGTCGCCATCTATTGCTCTTGTCCGAGTGTTCAAGCAGACTTACTAAAAGGCGCAACCATGTTCCACATTGTTGAATTCCAACATGGGAAAACTAATTTCCACGCTGATGTGAATTCATTAGCATTATGAAGTGCAAGTTTCGGAATCGCTTTTAGGCTGAACCCAACTGCTAATAGAGAGCTAATAGGCTCGAAACCGGTGCCTGAGGTTAGCGCATTTCGAAATCTGCACTTGCCTATTTCAAAAGCTCATGACGGCTCTGCTGATGCCGAAAGCCTTTCATTGTTTATGAGATGTCACTGTTACGACCCTGGCTGACGACTTTTTTTTTAGTCACTTTTATAGGAAGTCTCCATGATTTTTTCAGTTAGGCGAGTCTATTGACCGTTGGTAAACACGAGTTTTTGAAAAACTTGTCAGGGAAAAACAAAAAATTCTTGAATGCGGACCATAACATCACTCGAAAGAGACAATTGGCTGCTTGAAGTGAGGAAAAACGCACTTGAATAGAAAATTTCTGAATTTTCAGTTTTCTTTCAGGATGTTACTTAGGGGAAGCGATTCGGCGTTAGTATAGACGAGTTTAAAAAAATATTGTCAAGGAAAAACCAAAAATCTCTCAAGTCTCCCCAGAATATCACTCGAAAGAGAAAACTTGCGGCTTTTAATGAGGAAAACCTAACTTTAATAGAAAATTTCTGCGAGTTTTCCGGAATTTTTCAGATACTAAATCGAAGCAATTGGTCGTTAGACAATACGGATTTGTCAAAAGTTTTCCAAAAAAAAACCAAAAATTTTTCAATCCGGCCTATAATAAAACTAGAAAGAGATAGTCCGCAGATTTAAGTGAGGAGAAACTCACTTAAATAGAACATTTCTGGGAGTTTTCAGTTACTAAGGAGAAGCGATTGCCCGTTCGTATAGATAGACGGATTTTAAAAAATGACAAAAAAAAATTCTCAAGCCTGCCCAGAATATTACTTGAGAGACAATCTTCGGCTTTAAATATGGAGAACCTCACTTTAATAGGAAATTTCTGGGAGTTTTCAGTTACTAGGGGGAAGCGATTGGCCATTGGTATAGACGGATTCAAATAAATCTGTCATGGAAAAATAAAAAATTTCTCAAGCCTGTACAGAATCACTAGAAAAATCGAGGCGATTGATCGTTAGACAACACGAATGTTTCAAAAATTCTCCGAGGAAAAACCAAAAATTGTTGAATGCCACCCATAACATCACTCGGAACAGAAAATCTGCAGCTTTAAGTGAGGAAAAAGGAATTTTAATACAAGATTTCTGGGAGTTTTCAGGATTTTTTTAGTTACGAAGGGCTAGATTAATTAACCTCATGTGACCATCCTTTTCTTTTGACTTTTTTCATTCTTCTAATTATCAGTGTATCCAATAAGCAGAAAATCCATGGAGAATACGACCTTTAACTTCCCAAGCTAACCCACAAAGAGCACTAAACATTCGCCTTCTATATACACACTCGCTCGCATTGCTTGGCTACTTTCAGCATCGCATCGCCTAGCTCACTCGCCGGTGTGCACGTACCCTAATACACTCATCGGGTTTGTCCTCTTAGCATTGAAAATAATAATAATAATAATGACCTGCATGGATAATTGGTAAACTTCTTTTGCCAAATCAATAATCTAGCTAACGCAGAGGAACAAAGCCAAAAGTGTCAAACTAGGAAAGTTAAGAATTTAGGAATAATATAAACGATTTCCACAAACGTCTAATTAAAAAAGTATTCATCAATTGTATTACTTACCAACATAGGTGATGCAATAAAAATCAGGCGCCCATGTTTCAAATTCCCTTTCCCAATTAATGATGGTAGAAAGGGGCACAGACACTAAAAATGGCCCTTTGCAATGGCCCTCTTTATATAAAGAATACAAGAAAGTTATAGTTTGAATGGTTTTTCCGAGACCCATTTCGTCCGCCAGAATAGTGTCAATGCCATTTGCCCATGAATAACGCAACCAATTAATTCCTTCTAATTGATATTCATGTAATTGCATTCCGCATTCATCCAAATAGAGCGGTTGCTTGTCCAACTTCTTTTTTAGGTCAGACATTGGTTTGTCTGGAGGTGGTGTATACCGCCTCGGGGTAATTCTGTCCTCATCATCTAACAATTCTCGCGCTTTAGACTTGGACGATTTAGAAGATTTAGGTTTTCTGCCAGTTTTCCCTCCACTTAAAGTTGCTGCTCTTAAGTCTTGGTAATATTCAATCGCCGTTTTCAAACCAGCTATATCATCTCCCTCTTCTTCCCATGTCGCTTGATCATATGACAATTCTCTCCACTGCAAAAATAGAGCAATGGAATTTATTATTAACATATACATATATTTTCAGATTATTGTCGAAACTAGAAATACAGGGTGTTTGGTAAGTAGATGCATCCCTTGCAGGGGGTAAGAGTGCAAGTAATTTTTTATATTTTTTTAATACACCATGTTCCTAAAACTCTTAGTTTCCAATCTACAGGGTGTTACAGTTTCAATTTTAAAATGTTAATTATTAATATTGCAAAAACCGCTTGGAATACATGTTTTGTGATAAAAATGTTGTGTTTAGACTTTCCAGTGGCGTGGGCACAGGCACGACTGTAAATAATTTTAAATAAAAAAATGTTACCCCACTAATTTTTTAACAATAAACGATTCAAATTCCTGTTCAATTCGAAATAGAAGTGTCTCTTGACCTTTTCCAACGACGTCCCGTTTTCGAGTACACAAATTAAAATCGATTTCTTGCACATGGAAATCGGGTTTTTATTAAAAAGTTGGCTCTGAACTAGTTTTTGTCACTGATTGAGAAAATTAATAATTACTGTCATTTGGAGTGTATAAGTAACTTTAATTGACACTTTTTTGCGATTTACGTAATTTCGAGTAAGTTCACATTAGTTTAATTGAAATATTTTTCAGATATTCTTGACATTTATGGATTTTGCGACGGACATAATGCAAAAGAGCTCCGCGAATATCAGCGTCGATTTCCAACACAGGCGTCTTTCAAATAGCAGTGTCTTTGGAAACACTTGTCAAAGGGTCAGTGAGTCAGAAAAAGTACAAAGCAGACGTTCACGTATGGGGCAGGATGAAAGACTTGGTTGTCAGATAAATTAATACATCTCATTACAGATGCCGCTATTCCGCTTTTTCCACACACGGCCAGGGTAATCCGAACAGAAATACGATGGCGGTCCCATACATGCGTTAGAAGACTTCATTTTGAACAAGATCTTAAGTAACTTACTGTTTAGAGTTAATGAATAACATAATTTTTCCGAATCGTAGCAAACTTGGTACTCATTCAATACTAAGAATTAGTTAAATTTTAACTAACAGGTCAAGTAATCTAATATATAAAAACAAATAAAGAAACCCTAAGGCTGATTACGCTACGATTACGCAATGCCATAAATCGATTTTATTTTTTTACTCGATAACGGTGCGTTGTAGAAAAAAACAAGATACCTTGACCTGTTAGTTAAATAAAATACCTCCACATTGAACAGAAACTTAAAAAATAATATTTGAAAATTGTTTRGAAAATCAGGGGCGTAACATTTTTTTATTTACAATTATCTACAGACGTGACTGTGACTACCCCTCTGGCGCAGCTAAAAACGACATTTTATCAGTTGCGCGCGTTAAATCACCGTTTAATGCGATCTGAAAGATTTAAAAACTGAATATGGCGACGTGGTTTTAATACCGCAGTACTTTGGCTTAGTAGAGGTGCAATGCTCAAATGAGTAGACAACTTAAAAAGAAATACAGTTGTCCTTGGATATGAAGGGATATGCGTTTCCACATTTTGGTAATAAAGAATGGATGTGCGACTTTGGTTTCATTATCGACATGACTCAGCATCTCAGAGGACGAAACTACTCTGCATGTTATGTGTCACTGCACGTCATATGCAACAGGTAGACGAAGACTCCTGGGAGGGAATGAAATTCCACCAGACCAGATCATGCGAACTCCCCTCAAGACTCTTCTGGAATTCATTGAATATACAGGGATAATGAGGGAGTAAAAGTACGAGGGCACAATAGGACAGAAATGACCGCGGTGCGAGGCCAAACACCACCTCGGCGGTGAGGAAAGGGTTTTAGTGGGTAAACAGCTTAGCTGGAGTCCCACACACACCAGAGCGACAGACCACCAGCTCTGGGAGTGCATAAAAGAGCATTTCCCAAACCTCACCAAAAAAAAGAACTCAATGACCTTAATGTGGAACTCAAGGCAAAGGACAAGATTCACATTTTATATAGCAAAATTCAGCACTTTGAGCGCAAATTAAAATTGTGGAAACCGCATTTTTTGCAGAATATTGTTTAGCAGGAAAATAACTAATCCTATTTAATTAAGTTTGAATATATCAAGTGAAACATTTTGTCGTTTAAATCGATTATTGGACAAATCTGTAAATTAGTTGCTCTTACCTTTACTAAATATAAAGTCCTCCCATCTCTCATGGTGCGATGATTGATGACCCTGTGAACGATAAGCCATTCCGGCTTAACGCCAAATTTGTAATACTTCTCTTCCATTTCTTGATCATTAGTACTACCTCCCATTTTAAGAAGTCGAGTGCAACGAGTATCGGCTTCATCTAAAAAAATTATATGCAAAGCATTAGATGCTGATCTCATTTTTTTAAATTTTTTGCGATCACACTTACCAATTGGTTCTTCAAATTTGGGGGGCTCTTCCATATCATACTTGCGAGTGTAGCTGCGGAACATTAGTGGATGGTATACGTCCAACTGCAGTTCTGTTATCCAACTGCAGTGCCAATAAGACAATTCGTGCCATTTTACGAAAAACTCACGACGACGATGCTTGGTAATTTCTTCTTTGCCGTTCTGAGAAGTTGCATTTTAGTATTATTTATATAATAAAAGTTGTTGTTCGATAAAGTCCGAAAAAGTAAACGCTGATTTTTACCAAAAACTATTTGTTACTCTTAAAGTGTTGCAACGTGAACGTCATTATGATTTTAATAAAGCCAGTAAACGACAAAAAACGGAGTCAAAATTTTCATTATTAATGTAATGTATAATGTAGTATGCGATTTCCATGAAAACCTGAAGAATTAGGTATTCTATTAGGTATAGGTATAGTATTCGATTATATATAGGTAAACTATTTAATAGAAAGGTAAATTACTGTTCCTGTTATAAAATACAGGGTGTTTCATTTAAATTAAGCAAGTTATTACCGTTCAAAACGTGCAATTTTGGGACATCGTTTATGACGTAGTAGAATTTTTGTCAATTTGGCATGAAACAGCATCTATAACTAGCCGCTAGGTGAAATTGGGATTCGAAATGCAAAATGGATGTTAAGAATTTAAACTAAAAAAAGGTCTGCATTGTCACAAAACTCCAAATATCTCAGAAATCGTACCCTTTAAGTATGTATGCTCCGCTTAATAAAACTCGCTTTTATTTCGATCGCAGACAGATGATATGTCATTCCATATAAAAAAATGCAACTTTGCGTGGAGTCTAGTAATTGGGGCACCCTGTACATAATAATAATAAATAATTTTAAATTGTACCCCCAACAGACCTCCATTTATTCGTTAAATAAAACTCTTTAAAAATGAAATAGTTTATCCGCAATCTTCCGTGTCGTATATCTAAGTAACCCTGTATTATGTACCTTATCTTTGTTGACAACATCTACATCGCTCCATCTCCATGTTAAGATCTTCGCTACTTTGGCTTTGAGCGCTGGACAGCTGCATCGCGGACATTTCCAGTCCCCATCTGGCACATCAGTTAGAGGTGGGTTAAGGCAATGGGTGTGGTACGCCGAGGGGCAAGAATCGCAACAAAGAAGTTCTCCGCCATCCTTGCACACGCGGCAAAATTCCTTTAAAATTAAAATATACGAATTAACCGAAAATATTACAATATGCATATATTAGATAATAATATTGAGCTACTGTACAATCGAAGACTGCAACGGCGTGCGATGCAAAGAAGTTCACGTGCTAATAGAAAAGATGAATGATAGAAAAGATATATGAATTTGGGTAAATGTTAAGTCTCGTCCCAGCTTACAGATGCAAGCATGCAATATCACATACCTGCGATACTGTTAAAAACATGAATTTACAGTGCTTCAAATTTTTATAATATTGTGTAATATTATTTCATTATTATTTATATAATAATATTTACAATTTAACAATTGTTGGATGAGGACTGTATGTTGACTGGAAGAGACAAAAATTTTTATTTTTCGTCTTTTATTCTGCAAGCAATAAATTTTTCAATGTAGGACTTAATATTTTATACGACTGTCTCAAACATCACACCGACTTTGTTGCATTTCATCGTTTCCCAAATGACTATAGAGACTTAATCCCAATCATCAAGCTTGCAACATTTTGAAAGTTGTATAAGAAGTTGTCTAATCTTACTTTGATGATGGAAAGACCCAATTTTGATCATTCCAATTACAATTTTGATTAATCTTCTGCTGCTCTCTCCACCTTCTGTGACGCTAGCGGCTTATTCTTTTTCTTTTCATGAGCGTGTTAAGAATTATCAAGCGTCTCCTTTTCGAGTGGAGAGTTGGATCTTATTTCCAGCGGCCTGAAATTCTCGTTACCCCCGAAAGTCAATTTGAGTTGAAATTTACTTTGAAAAAGTTTTCTATTGACCTCGACGTTTATAAATAAAATCACTACAGACCAGGAACCTATTAGTAGCCTACGTTAGAGGTCCATCAACATTCTGAATTACTTTATTAGACCCAATAGTGTTCAATCTCAGGGAAGAGTTTCACCTACCAATAATTTAGCAAAAATTCACCAGAGGACCCTGAGTGAAATCAAGAAAAACGTAAATGATAATAATTTACTCATATCGAAGACAGATAAAGGAAACTGCATAGTGATAATGCCTAGATCTACATATATTGAAAAAGTGGAAACATTCTTGCTCAACAACAACTTTACCCTTTTAAATAAAAACTCAATCAATAGTTATATCAAAACCATCAAGAATACGACAGAGTGCCATAAATAATTTCTGAAACCTAAGACATTAATTTGTAATTTCTCGCCCCGCACAACCATTGTTGTTTGGACTGACATAGGGCCCGGTGTCGGCTTTCCCAACTCTCCTTCATCTAGCCTGGCCAGAGTGACAAACTCCTTGCTGTTGAAATTTCGGCAGTTTGAACCTAAGTTCTCGATCAAGACCTCATTAGATTCTGTCAGCAGGACTAAACAGTTGGTTTTGCCACCAGACTTCATAATGGTCTCCTTTGATGTGACTAACGTACCCAGAAACGCAGTCTTGCCCATTGTCATATATATAGACGATATTACTTCAGCATTTCGAATTTCCTCAATCAAATAGACCATATAATACAATTTACAATTGAAGTTCAAGTGAAAAACAGGTTGAGTTTTTGGATCTGCAGATATCTATTGACACCCGGCATCTGGTTTACGACATTTGTCGTAATAAATAAACGAGATAAAATCCGTAACCAGGAAATAAGAAGACGAACGAAGGTAATGGATAGAATACAGAGAAGAGCTGAGCTTAAGGAGGTTCATCTAGTACGTCTCTAGTCAAAATAAAGTGCGTATAGACTTGTGACTGTCCTGTAGACCGTGTGAAAAACCGCACAGCATGGAAACAAATGAAAGAGGCCTTTGTTCAGGAGTGGACATATAATGGCTGACAAAGAAGTATGTGTCGCGAGAAAATTGTTAAAATATGGAGGATACGTGCATCAGGCATGTGTACTCTGATTTGATCAACTCTTCTTCAACGTTACGTCACGTATAACGCGCTTTTCCCGATAATGAGTATTAACCATGGGGCACCTTGTAGCTAATTCTGCTTGTTTCATCAGCGCGAAACGACACTTGAAAGTCGGGAAGTGTTTATATGTTTATTGTTTTTTGACATTTTATTAGCGCTTGAACCGTAATTAATAACATCCAAAGGTGGTTCATAAACCAAGACACAATATAAGGTCTACTTTATTCAAGTATCGAAAGTATTTTAAAAAAATTAAAATAATATACAGCCGATTCAATTACAGGCGTCCCTCATTTGCTGCCTGACGTCACGTTTTGTAACGTAACGCTGAAGAAGAGTTAATCAGACTATGCGTAGGTGTAAACGGGGAATTGGGATAGAGTATGGTCAACAAATTCAACTGAAATTGCAATAATCCATAAGTTACCTGATGCTCATCATCGTCTTGATCGGCTGGTCCTTCACTTTCGCAATGTGGGCAACTCCATTTACCTTCAGGAGCTTCATCAAGTTCGGGTTCAAGACATACCAAGTGATAAGCACGAGGACAAGTGTCACAAAGTATAATTTCTCCGCCTTGTTGACAAACTTCACAATAATCTTGATGCTGTAAAAAAGAATAAATTAACTCTAATAAACAAATATTTATAAGTGTTTGTACCTCATAAGGCTCATCATCTTTCTGCTTTGTTTTACGTTTTCTTTTAGACTTAACACCAATCTTTGTTTTAGCTTTCCGTTTCGGAAGAACCTCGTCACCGGCCTCGGATGTAGCTTTAGACGAACCCGCGTCGTTATTGTCACTACAGTGTTTCAATATTTCAACAAATAATTAAATTTAGAGCCAACTGATACACAATACCTTGATTTAGATTTAGGATCATCAGTATCTTGCAACATCTGTTCAAACTCAGCATCGGAGTCTTTATCTGAGCCGGCATTGCTGACTTCGTCCTCTTCTGAACTGCCCCTCTTCCTCTTTCCCAGCTTAATTTTAAGTGTAGGGACCTTGGACGTTTTTTTCCCCCTAGCTGATGGTTTACGTCCACGCTTCTTCTTTTCCTTGAAACTGGATAAGCTAAAAATCGTAATATTATTTTCTATGTTAGATATCACAATTTAAAATGTATTCATACCTTCGTTCATCTTCTTCATCATCTTCGTCATCGTCGTCAAATTCTTCAGCTTCAGCTTCGACAATTTTTGATGCAATTTCTTTGGAAGCTCTTGAAGCTCGCATTGGTTTTGAAAAAGTATCATCGGATACCAACGAACTTGACGGTTCGGAATTCTCCGATTGGAGATGAGGATTAATGTTGGAAAAATCTCGCCACTTGGCGGCTACTAACATCATCAGCTTAGACATTGGCACCTATGACAACAATTGACAAAGTTAACTAAAACTATCCTATAGGAAATGGCTCATGTCTTACTTTAGGATTTTCCTTTGTCAAGAACGGTCTCACATGCTGCTGGAATAACTTGTACGATGTTAAGTTTTGCATGTCTTGATCGGTGTAATCAATTTCTACGTCATTTAAACCGAAAGTGGAACATACTTCTTCAATCGTAGGCATTCCTAACGGAAATAATAAAATAAAAATTACACAGCACATTTTATTTTACTCATATTTGTTTGCTTACCACCTGTATTTGACCCATCTACCGACGGTGTAGTTGGAGTTGAAGAAGCATGCTTGCCCTTAGACTTTTTGCTTGATCTTCTCCCTCCACTGTAGTCAGAATCGCCAGCGTTCTCATCATCGCCTCCAAAGTCGCTTTCCTATTGATTATTAAGACATAACATAAAACGTTTTGAATGGTGGTGTATTTTGAACTATCGAATTTTTAAGGTCTCACTCCCCGGAATGTTTTCAACTTATAAAATAGTAATCCCTAAAAAAGTTCGAACAGGACTATTTTAAAACGTGTCACAAACGCGTACATTTTAGGAAATCAATAACATTTTATTATATTTAATAAGCTATTTATTTACTATATTCTAAAATACGTATCTAATGCAAAATTGGTTGGTAACTTTTGTACAGCATTATAAATAAAAATTAGACCTGAATAGTCATTTTTGAAGCAACGTATCGATGGTTAAAGTGCAAAACCTCGTGTCTTTTTTAAATAAATTTACAGAAGCGAAAAACGGTTACACTGTTTCATTTAGAAATTTGAAAAGTATTTTAATTAAGATATTGTGATATACTGAAGCATTTTCTGGGGATGTACAGGGTGGGCCACTAAGAGAGGTGGTCGGTTGAATCTCACAAACTATTAGTAGTATCCATTTCAAGTAAAAACATATATGAGTAAAGTAACTAAGAGAAATTGCTGGAAATGACTTACAAGTTCGCAAAATGATCGCTAGAGGGCGAAATACACACGAAAAAACAGTAAAACTACGGATTTTTGGCGGTTTAACACACGCTTCATTCTATTCTTGAGAGAATTACAGTTATTTTTCGTGGGAGTGTTATTGTTCTAGCTAGTCACACAAAGTGGTGGGGGGAGGTCAAATATTGGTTCAAAAAGTTATCGATAGCTCCGTATTGGCCAATTCAAAATTTAAATTCTAGTTAAAAATTCTCTTTATTTACTTTAACTCATGCTGTAAAATATTCGCTCTTATCATTATCCCTTCGGCCGCGAGAAGTCGTTTTATCCAAAGACGTAAAACTTTGTCGTTTTTCTTCAATTTTTTAAACGAAATGATATATAATATTTAAGCTGCTCAGAAAGAACGAAAAATTAAACAAACTAGTGAAAACCGCATATCGATAATTTTTTAGTCGAAGATATAGAAAATTTTATAGCAAAACAGTTTATACCGTTTTTACGTCAAGTATTCCGTTTCGTAATAACAATTGAATGTTTGACAATTTTGTAAAATTTGTTTTACAAAAAAAGTTTTAAGACCCTCTTTTAAAACGTCTATTACAAACGAGGAAGCCTTTGAGATGTTTGCTGTTTGCTGTTTATTATGCTTGCAAAGTGCAGTTATTGCTTCAAGAGTGTATGTGGAGCGTTTCTCGGGGAGACACCGAAATAAATACAGATTTTTTACTGGTCTTGCTCAACGATTACGGAGTACAGGGAACATTTTGAGCATCTAAGCAGGTTTTAATCCCAAGGATGCTTATCAGAACCAATAATTGACATGTCTTATTATGATATCATTGTTATTGTCAAATTGTTTAACCTTCGGTTGCAATAAATATATCGGTTTGTGATTTTCACTATTTTGCTTCATTTTTTATCCTCTTTCTATGCAGCTAAAATTTAATGGCATTCTGTTTAAAAAACTAAAAAAAAAAATTTCTTTGAAAAAAGAAAACAAAGTTTGACGACCTTTTATAACGCGCCCTCTGGCGGGCAAAGCGGCAGTCATATGGGCGAATATTTTACAGCAGATGTTAAGGTAAATAAAGATCTTTTCAACTACAATTTAAGCGTTGAATTTTGTTAAGCCAACACGGAGCCATCAATAACTTTTTGAACCACTATTTGGCCTTCCCCCGTCACTTACTTTTTGAACCATTATTTGGCCTTCCCTCGTCACTTAATTTGACTAGCTAGAACAATGAGACTCCACCGAAAAAGAAGTCAAATTCTTTCAGGAATAGAACTAAGTATTCTTCTTTCAAGAGATGCTACTAACTGAAAATAACTTCTATAGGCACCAGTGGTGCCCTATCTCTGAGTTTGGACGGACTTTTCAAACCACCTTCGTATATTAATGTAGAGTTTGTTCAAAATAAATTGATCTTTCTATCGTCAATGCTAATTTAGGAGCACCCGCCTTGTTGGGCATCCAACGGTGAAAAAACTGAAGTTGACGACGCGCACTAAATGATCATATAGCCGGCGAGTGCAATAAAAGTTGCCGGCAACGCCAGAACTGATAAAATGCCCCAGCGTAGATCAAATATTGCGAGAAGAAAGTTGCGGGCAACAAAATTGCCGACAGTAAAACGCCCGTTGCAATTTGGATAAGTTTGACAATAATAATTCACAAATTGTAAAAGTATTATTATTATGTGAATTAACTTTATTCCCCTTTCTGCAACATCATTAACTAATATTTTTTTAACGAATTTTTAACTTTTTTTGATCATCTTGTCGGACTTCGCAGGTGTAAAGTGAAGTACTTAAGAAATCAGTTGATATAGGAAATTTTCTGAGAAGGACTAATGTTACTTTAGTGGATTCTACCATTTTCAGTTTTCCAAAAAATTCAAGATTTTCAGGAAATTTCGGATTCGAACAACTGATTCTTCTACATCTATATATGTATATTATTTATATTAAACCAACAAAGACAAACTTATGTTGAGTTATAAGTCGTTTTACGCTTGGGTTCCGTGAAGACGGGGAGCTCGCCAAACATAAATAATTTCGCAACATGTTTTTTCGTTTTTATGATATTTTTAGTAAATTAAAGAAATTAAAGTTTAGTCAATGATGAGCGATACCCATAATAAATAGCATTTTCAACTGAAAAGGATTTTGTGCCACTAGAAAATATAAAAAAATAATATATTTTTTAAACTCGGTATGCTTTTTTTACGTAATAGAACAAATCTAAGAGGTAAAACTAAAAAAATCACAGATGTGACTAACGGTCACCATAATCTGGATATATGGCCGAACAGGTAAAATAATAAAGACATTTTCAGAAAATAAAAATAGACTTACATCGCCGCTATCATTCTTCTTCTTTTTCTTCTTCTTACGGCCTCGTTTACTTCCTCCCTCTCCTTCGGAGCGAGCTTTCCTTTTCTTTCCCTTCTTTTTCTTGCGTCCATCCTCTGGTTCATAGTCATCATCTTCTTCCTTAAAAAAAAAACTAGTCAAATAATGCACAAACTGGTGTCTAACTTGGACGGTTTGAACCAAAGGGTAACTTTTACATTTAAAATTTCGCCAACATCAACAAACGAAATTGCGATATTGCCGGTTAGGATACGAGCCGTTTCTTTGATGTAAACAACTCAAGTAGACTCTAGAATCTAGTAAATTATTTCAAAATATCTATAATGCATTTAACTCTAGTGTGTGCACCATAGATTAAACTAGTGCCCGTTGAATTTGAAAAACTTAAAGCTTATCGATTTGTATTTACATTATCTTTAGTGCAAGGTTAGTTTTGTAACGACGGCAACGCCAAGCTGCTTGCTGTTGCGTTTTGCACAATTTATTTCATTCATAAAAGCGAATTATAGTATTTCGTATACAGGGTAATTCAAAATTCATCTGGAGGTGTTGTCTGGTGGTGTTTTAGAGGTACAGAAAAAATAGTTAAAAAACGAATTGTTATTAAAAACTGAGAAAATTTGCAAAAAACTATATCAAAAAGACGGCAACAACGTTTTTCAAGGTAATCTGCCTAATTAACATTACGGAAATACCTGTTGCTTCGTAATTATTAAAAACTCCGGTAACCATGGAATTACACAGAAAGTGACAATAAACAAGGATAAACGGTAAATTCAACAGGATTCGTGAACTGTGGAACGTACTTCGGAATGTCAATTATTGGCCTCATAACCTCGAATTAATGTTTACAAATAAAAATACATTTGTTATTAACTCGAAACAAGTTAGTGCCTGTGTAATCTCCTTATTATCCACTCTTATCGAGCAGCTTCTCGTATTTGTATAATTTTTAAAGAAATATAATAATAATAATAGATAAATAGATAAAGAATCCAATCAAGTTGCATCAACAGATTTTGAATCAGATGGCAATGCCAGTTTTTGGCAGAATTTCACACAATCTGTGGGGACCCAGTATCCCATTGAAATATATTCGGAATTGTTCCAGTCTACAGAGCTTGTTTCCGTAAAGACCAAGAAGCCAAGAAAGCCAAAACAATGGGCACGGCTTCTAAATAGTGAAAAACTTATAAATTGTAAACAAAACTGATAAATTTACAGTCCAAGATAGATTGATACTTTTTTGAAAATTATTGGTATATGGAAGATCTTGTTAAGCAAACAACTTACAAAATGACTTTAATGACTGGCTTTAATCCCACAAAAGAAAAAAATGGTTATGTCAACCCATGAGTGCCACTTTATTAAAAACGAAATAAAAGTGTGTGTACGCTATTTCAGAAAACCTCAAAACCGTTTCATGTTCAGATACTTGTGCCAGACAAAAAACAATTAGGAAAACCACATAATCGGCCCCAACTATTGGCTTTCTAACCAAAAATTGACTTGCAGTCGTTCTATACCTACTAAACTAATTCACACATAAATAACTGGTGTGTGGCCACACACAATAATGTGGACTCTTTGATTCAAAAAATATTATCAGCGCGTTAAAGTCGGGGCCAATTTATAACCCTGTGCAATCTGTCACTTTAGTTCAAACTGCGAAAAAAACGGTAGGCGATTTAAAGTAATTGAATTTACTCAGGTCGATGTTTATGATCTAAAAAAACCAATAGCAAAAACACTTAAATTGTAATTAAATTGTAAATTGTAATTTAATTAAATTCTAAAAGAACAACTTTTAACTTTACAACAATTATTCAAATTTGCTGTTTTTGGGGCACTTTCTAGGAAAAAATTTCACATGCGAGTTTTTGGACTGCTTGTTCTAAAGACAAATATTTTCTATCCTCGTTCTCATAACCATCCCTGTTTATAAATGTATTGTCCAAAATTGAGTACATATTAAATATCATTTTCACTTGCTCCGCCTATGACTGCGGCTTCTAGAATTGCCTCCATTGTGACAATTACAAAACGATTATTATTAGGAAACAAAAAAACATTATTAACAAAAAGGTAAATAATACAGACAACACCGAAATAGTATTCGTATATTATTTAATTTACAACCATCATATTTCGACCATAATAAATAAGACTCAGTTTTGTAAGTTTTTGGACATACCTAATTTACATTTAATGATAAATAAAGAAGCAGGTGGTTTTCTTGCCAGAATAATAAAATAGGTTAGTATATTGTTACTGTTACTATGGGGTCAACAATCACCAATATAAATAATTGCCAGATTAAATCCGATTTTTAATTTGCGAAAAAATGTCCTCCGATGAGGAATTAGTATTAGATTGTACCCCGCTGGAAATACGACAGGCTGCTGACGCTGCAGCACATGGATTGGTGCCAGAAAAAAATAAACTTCGTTATCTAAAAGCCATTGAGACATACAGGGTGGCCATTTTCTGAATCTTTGTATGGGTAACTTCTACATTTTTAAAGATAGAGAATCCGTTAAATGGGCAATATTGGGCAGAATTCGATTGCCTATTCATTACCGTTTTCAAAATTTATGTACCCGACTTGGTTCCGGAAATATCCTGAAAAAAACAAGAAATCAACACTTTTTTAATTATCACTTAYTACGTAAACTGCTTAACTTAGAAAAAAAGTTAAAACTGCCCTTAGTACAACTTTTTGCGTTGAATCCAATAAACCAGCACTCGTTATCATAGTCAACTTGATTTACGAGATAAAAAATAAAGTTATGGTTTTTTAAATGGTAATCATAGTTGGCTGTGGGCCTTTTAAAATCCTTATTTTTTCCTGAATTTAACGATATAATTGTTTGTATGTTTTTCTTCTTTTGTTAAAACTTCAAAAGAAGATAAAACATGTGTAGTAGGCTATGGAAACAAGAACTATATTATCACACAAAGCACTAAACAAAACTGAAATAATGAATCGTTTAAATAAATGCTCAAATTGACTTCCGTTTACGTCCAGGCATTTTTTGGCATCTTCACATTGAACTCGTGAGTTGTGTGAAGGTGCACTATCATGTTGAAAACATGCCAATTTTCGATACGATGCTAACGAAAAATTGTTCAACATGTCTTCAAGTTCATTTGGTAGAAAGTGTAAATATCTTTCCATATTTAAATTGTGATTAAAAAATTGACCAATAATTTTATCACTAAAAATGCCTCACCAGACATTCACAACAAAAAGTTACATTAGCCCAGTAAACATGATTGTGTCTGTTAATTATTTCATTTTTGTTTTGTGCTTTGTGTGATAATATAGCTCGTTTCCAGAACACATTTTTCATCTTCTTTTGAAGTTTTACGCCAACAAAAGGAGAAAAACATACAAACCGTTATATCGATAAATTCAGAAAAATAAGGATTTTAAAAGGCCCACAGCCAACTATCATTACCATTTAAAAAAAACATAAGATTATTTTTTATCTCGTAAATCAAGCTGACTATGACAACGAGTGCTAGTTTATTGAATTCAACGCAAAAAGTTCTACTAAAGGCAAGTTTAACTTTTTTCTAATTTAAGCAGTTTACGAATTATATGATAATTCGATATCGGATATGATACTCCGAAAATGTAATGTAAGCATATTTTGGAAAACAAACCAAACAGAAGAAGCCGTCCACTTTGTGGGCCATGTACAGTATTGTACCGTGGATGACCGAGTATCAAACTCTTTCTTCAGCTTCCAACTTTTATTAACTCGGTATAACATTAAATACGGAACAGGAACAAACTAACTTCAAAATTACCGTCAACTTCATAAGCAATAATAATAACAAACGGAAAACTCGGTCTTCCGACTCGCGGGGTTTAACATCTTCTGCACCCGGTCGCTGCTGTCACTTCACTCCCCCTGTGGTTCTCGTCGCCGCTTATATAGTTTCCTCCAGGTAACCCAGACGGTT